TATGTAATAAATTTTTCAGTACATTAATTTCAATACACTAGTTTATCACAATTGTTAAATTTCGTTTTTACTCAAATATTTTCATGATTTTATCAGTTAAGAGACTTAAAGCAAATTAAATTGTTATAATAAGTTTATAACAAGAATATAATATATGTATAATAAAATATACATATTATTTTTTTTTTAATATGTATTCAAAAAATTTATTACATAAAATACTATATATATAAAATATATATAAATAATAAATTTCAAATATCTATTATTAAATATTCTTTAACAACAAATTTTTATAAACATTAATAAATACTTATAAGAATTTAAGCATTGAAAACATTTTAATATTTTAAAGTGTTACCATTTTATCATTATTCACTTCTTCATCATTTGTTATGTATATATTTTGTGACATAATAATTTTTATTATTTAATTAATAAAAAATGTTAATATATTAACATAACGTTTTAAAAAAATGCGTGTTTTTACGTATTTATATATTATATATTTGATTGATACTATATACAGATATATAATAAATATTTATTGTTAGATTAATTGTTACTTATATCCGATATATCATATATTTTTAATTATATTATAATTATTGATATATATGATCAGTGTTTCAATTATTTTAGGTTCCATTTATCTGATATAATGTAACTCGATATGCTTAATAAGACTTTTTAACGGTGTTATTATATGATGTTGTTAGTCTCAATATTTTTGTTTATAATAATATTGTTTATAATAATGTTTATTAATAATTTATTATTATTAATTTAGATTATTATAATTTATATTTTATAGATATTTTTTTATTTTATTATATTATATTATTATATTATATTATATTATATATTATATTATATATTATAAATTATGTATAATATATATAATTATACATATATTTATTAAATATATTATTTTTTATTTTTTATTATTATTATATTATATATTATTTTTATTTATATAAAATAATTATATGATATTACCAATTTTTATATTTTTTTAATTTAGCAATATTTATAATTATTTATCTATTTATGTTAAATAAATATTTATCGAATTTTATTTTTTTCAATAAATTAGAAGTTTATTTTTATAAATTAATTTTAAAGAATAGCAATTAATATTCAAATATAATCAATTTTTGATATGCGAACTTTCATTAACAATGAATAGAATATAGGAATTTGAAAAAACTATTTTACTTTATCATATAATCATGATTATATAATTATAAAGATAAATTTGTAGTTAATTATTTTATTATTCTAATAATAAAAGAAATAATTATTTGTTAAACAAATTTTAATCTATAAAAAAGATATAGATTATTATATAATTAATAAAATTCTTAGTATTAAACAGGATACTTGAATGAAAACGTTAAAATTTTATTTCTAATTGTACAATTTAAACTTGTTCTCTTTTGTATCTTACATCTAAAAAAATTTAATTATACATATCTGCAATTTAAATTTACGCTAGGCAATACGATCATTATATAAGCGTTTCTTTTAACTCTTTATTTCTAGATAGAACTTCTAAAAAATAAAAAAAATAAAAAAAAAAGAAAAAGAAAAATATATATAAATTTAAAAAAAAACTCGTATTTTCGAATTAGCAAAAATTGTATATTTATAGATTTTTTTTATTAAAAATAATATTTAATAGTAATAGTATCTGAGTCATTTAAGTTCCATATGTAATATATTCCATTAATGCAATGACAACAAATAAGTCAATTTTAAAAATGATTACAAAGAAATATATTTTTTATGAAAAACATTTTATACTCTAATCCATAAATTAAAGTAATCTATAAATTATTTTATCAAATAGAAATTTCAATATATCGAGCTAGAGAGATTTTCGTGATCTATTGTGTCTCTTGAGTAAGCATTCCAAGGTCTATCTTTTGCGTGAATATACCCATCAATTGCGACGCAATAACGAAAAGATTTGTAACATGTAAATGATAGAATTTATTAGAAATCATCAAGAATACTTTTTTACAGCTATTTTTTACATTAATATATATATATATATTTCATGTTTTTACATATTCGTCTAAAATTTTTATGAAAATTCAATTGATATATATTATAAGCATTTTAATTTTCCTTTTTACATCTTCAATGATATGATATTTTTTAAGTTATATTCTAGAATATTTTATAATATAAAGTTTATTTAATAAAATGTGCTAATTAGTTATATAATTATGTTGTTTTTATCAATAGACTTAGTTGTTCAAATTATTCAATTTTCAATCGATAAAAAATAAGTATTAAAATAAATATTAAAATAGATATATAATTATCTATTGTTTCGTATGCTAAGACAGAGTTTTTTACATCATGCATTTGATGTATTTCTAAAGAAGTTGCAGAGAAATAACGTGTAGGAATAAATTCCGATACATTGTGCAACAAATTCCATTGAGTTTACATACGCCTAGTGCAGTAATAGCACGATAGCAAATCGGTAGTACGATAAATTATTGTCCTCGATGATAAAATTCAATGATAAAACATTATTAAATATCAGAAAATTAGTTGTCGCAAGAATGATGTTGCAATAGTTTGAACTCAACGCAAACTTAGCGTTTGAACAAATATATGTAAAAGCATGAATGTAAATCATGATCACTACAAATCTTGCCGACAGATTATTATTACCGGCAGTTGATATAATTTTGATATTTATAGAAAAATGCCAAGACTTACCCTTGTGCCTACGCCACTGTCTGTAAAGGAGCGCAGCAATCAGCAGCAGGAGAATCGTTGTAAGGAAAGTACCGATCACAGCCCCTGCCACATTTCCTGCCCCGAAACAGGTATCCCGTGGCTCGTCCTCCATTGCTCCTTCTTAAATTCTTCTTCGATGCATTTCCAACATACTTACTGCAAACGTACTCACGTTTCTTTTTTAACAAATATCCGTCCTAAACCTTTAAATAAATTAGTTTCACACTGTTCACCGTATCTCCGTTTGAAGTGCATAAGGAGACATTATTTTCACTTCGCGAGTCGTTGCCCTTTACTAAAGAATCAGCACCAAGATCGAAAACCGTCCTACTGTCGTGACACTGTGCACGATACTAAAGAGAAAGAGAAAGAGAAGCATTAAGAGAAACAGAAAAGAGAGAACAGACCCATGGATCGAGTAAAACAGGTAGCTGCGCAACAGGTGCTTCTGCCTATGAAGTGGGGATTCCATCTCCTCACAATTTACAGAGGACCGGGGGTAGGAGTGGAACGAGTATGCGAGAACAGTGGGGGATTCTGGCATTCCTTCACCGTTTCAGAGTTGACCGTATTTTCTGATACCTAGCCTAGAAGCACTATATGAATGTAAGCCGTAGGCGTATAAAAGAAATAATTCCTATATAGATTGATTTTTACAAAGTAAAAAAACCGCTATCAAAACAAATCACATTTAACAAATAATGTAGAAATTTTAAATGATAATATATTAATTAAGTAATATTAAGTTTTATAAAAGTACTTAAAAAAAAATAATAATTTACATATTAATTAGGCAATAAATTTAATTAGCATCAATATATATAGATAATATTAAATTAATAAAAAATAAATTAGATATAATTATTAATTTATGATTGTTATTTATTATTATATAGATTTATTATATAGATTTTATGTGAAGATTACAATTAATTATACTTTTTATTATATATAATGATTTTTAAGAAGATTAAAAAAATAAAAAAAATCATATTTTAAAAATTATTATAAATATAAAATGTATTCAAAATTTTTAAAATTTTTAGAGATTATTAAATTTAATAATTTGTATGAATTATCAATGATTAAACATAAATATATAGACATAGAATATCTAATTATTTCGAACGTATCATAATATGCCGTTTTCTACATAATTCTTTTTAATTTAAATTTATTAGAGTCTGATTTTTATATCTCGGAAATTTTTAAATTTAAATCATAAATTATAATAAAAATAAAATTTTCTAATAAAAATTTATTATTTATGTTATCCTTTTTTGTAAATTTCTAATTTGAAATATTAAATATTTTATCAAATGGAAAAAAAATATATATATATATTTGAGATTTATACATATATATAAATAAATATATAAAATATAATTAAAAAAATAATTATATCTACAATATAACATATCTACAATATACAAATATAGATATATAACATATCTATGTATATATTTAAAAATCATAAATATTGCTTATAATAATTTATAATTGTTTTTAAAAACAGATATAATATTTGCTTAAATTATTAGATCAATAAAGAAAGTCAATAATATATATAATAAAAAAATATTTATATGCAAAATTTTAGACATTTTATATTTTATAGAATACTTAAAAAAATAATTTTAGTAATAAATTATATGTACATATTTATATATATTATGTAAATTATAATTAAAGATATATATAATAATAAAAATTAACAATTAATAAAAAATATTTAGCAATTGAATTACATTAATATTTTTTTTAAAAAATAGTTCTTATAGTATTTTTTGAATAAATAATAATTTTTATATTATTTATTAATATGTTTGTTTATATTTGTAAATTAATTAATTTATTTGTAGTATAAAAATTTTCAATATAAAATTAAAACTAATGTGTAAAAATAAAATTTATAATATATAAAAGTAACAAATAAAAATATAAAGCATTTTGAAATATATATTGAATAGAATTTTATAATTTTAAAAATTATAAAAATTGAGATAATTTTTTAATCTGTAATTTGTAATAAATGTCTCTATAAAATAAGTGTTAATAGTGAATATAAAGAAATTTTAAAATTAGCGCGAAATATATAGCAGAAATACTAAAATAGATAGCGCTAAAGTACTTTCATATTTTTACATTGTGTTTCAACTCTTTTTTCTGAAACTTTATAGTAATCGATTCCATATTGCAATGAAATGGTTCACTATCTTCAGTTGAGTTTGTAGGTTGTACGATAATTGAGTCTATTCGCATTCTAGTCATAACCTGTAAAGTAACAACTATAAAATGTAACAAAATTAAATTTATCTATATTAAAACGCTGCAAGTTAATATGTCATATGTAATTATTAATTTTAAAGACGAATTATCATATTTGTATTACGATATTCATGAATATAATCGTGAAAAAGAAACATAAACGAGGTGCTATAACCTAATTTTATTTGTTACTTAGCATCATGACTCTTACTCCGAAAGATTTAACGAAATTATTGGATATCCTAGAGGAAGAAAATTTGGATACAAGTTTGGAAAATCTTTGTAATCAATTACATCAAGTATTTCCAAAAGAAGTTCGATTCAAAGTAGGAATGACATTGGTTCTCCTTTTACAACATATAGATTTGTTGCCAAAAAATGTTCAACGTATAATAGCAGTAGCATTATTATTCGATCTTTATAGAGGAGAAACACTGGCCTCAACACCTTTTGCACCTGTTTTTGTTCAGGTTTTAAAATCACAAGAAGATACAAATAATGGAGTACCAAAGACTAATTTTTCAGGACATATACCAATTTTGTCACAATGTGAGAAAAATCTTTTGATAAATTTATTGGGATATAACCAAAAAGATATTTTAAAGAAAACTCCAAGACAAATTGTGGATGAATTATATTTTGTTTCTGTACCACCTGTTGATTTAAGTAATTTACAAGTACAATTAGCAGAACATCATTCAGAATTACCTTCTATTGCTAAATGTGGACATCCTGTAATTTTACCTGATATGGACCATTCCAAAATAACAGAAATTGATAAAAATGCAACAAAAAATATGACAGAAATTTTAATTTTTAATGATCCACCATTATGCAGTCAAAGTTATCAACCTGAATTTTTAAGATTAGCACCTCCTCTTTATCGTTCAGTTGACGAATTACCATGGTTTAATGTCACAGAACCATCTCAGTTTACAATTGAATATGACACTAATATGTGTGTTTCGAATTGTGCTGGTGCAGAAGCTCGTAGATTGATGGGTAAAGCTTTTAAAAGTGTATTGACATTACAACAACAACAACATCTTGTTAATGAATTGGATAGAGATCCAAAATTAGTATATCACATTGGCCTTACTCCAGGAAAATTACCAGATTTGGTGGAGAATAACCCTTTAATTGCAATTGAAGTTTTATTAAAACTTATGCAATCAAGTCAGATAACAGAATATTTTAGTGTTTTGGTAAATATGGAGATGTCACTTCATTCAATGGAAGTTGTTAATAGATTGACTACTACTGTTGATTTACCTACAGAATTTGTTCATTTATATATCAGTAACTGTATTTCTACTTGTGAAACTATAAAAGATCGTTATATGCAAAACCGTTTAGTACGTTTAGTTTGTGTTTTTTTGCAATCCTTAATTAGGAACAAAATTATAAATGTCAAGGAACTCTTCATTGAAGTGCAAGCTTTTTGTATAGAATTTAGTCGCATTAGGGAAGCTGCGGCTCTTTTCCGTCTGCTTAAACAACTTGAATCTGGTGATATTGGTGGATTGAATGCACCAACTGCTAACAATAAATTGGATATGTGTTAATATAATTAACATGTTTTTCAAATATCTGATAGGAAATTAATAGTCTATTAAAATTTTTAAATATTTTTTTGATTAATTAAATTACAATGAACTAAAATGTAGATACAGTTTCACAGTGCTTTTTTGAAAGTGATGATTATAAACTTAGTAAAGTTTTATATATAATTTTAATAATACAAATAAATTATTGGCTAATTCATTTATTTTCGATTAATTATTAAAATATTAACATGATAATTTCATTCAAAGAACCAAAAAAGAAATGTTTTTATAATAATATACATAAAGTATATTTATTTATGTGTCACAATTTTTGTTAAAACTAAATGAAATATATGTACACTATTATTGTAGGTATAATATAATATATATGTTTTAAAAAATAATGTAAGTTATTTTCTAGTAATAAATTGTAAAAATTGTTCTTAGGAAAAAATAAAACAGATTATTATTGATATTCAGATATCAAATATTTTTTGTTACAAGTATTTTGAAACATTTTATAATGCTTTTGTATGTTTGTTTCTCTACAATAAGATACTATATAGATGCATCTTTACATACTATATATTTTGTATTCCAAAACTACAAAAAATAAATAAATACTTTTTATATTCTCAATATAAAAATTGAAATATTTTTTTTGTAATAATTGTTTATTATAAAATATTAAATAACTAATATTGTATAAATACAATGTTAGAAATCTAAGATAATCATATTAAATTGATATTTTGATTATATGATACGAAATAGAACAATATTAAAAAAATAATTTAAATGATAGTTTAAATTTAGATATATATGAAAAAAAAATTATAAATATATTTATATAATAAATTTTAAATCTTATAAAAATAAGTTGTATAAAATAAAAATATATGTGCATAATTTTAGTTGTAAAAAAATTTGTAAATTTTCATATATTATCGTAATTTCTCGTATTTAAATTTATCAAAATTAGGGATGTAAGTAATATAAAAATAAATAATAAAATCTTATACAATTAAGATTTCATTTAAAATTTTTTTTATTTATCCATTTTTATTTTAGTTTACTGAAATAACATCTTTATTTTTTTCAAATTTTTAAATAAAAAACATTACAATAATTAGCTAATAATTTTAGCTAATAATTTTTAGCTAAATAAAAACATATAATAATTTTCAATATTTACATAGTATTCGAAGAACTTTTCTTTATTATTTAAATTAAATTATATTTTAATTTCTTCAATATTTTATTTTTAAAAAAAATTATTTAAATTTTCACAAAATTTTATATTTTTTAAAAAACCGAGAATGATAAAGCAATTCTATTTCTACGTATTTAAAATAAAATTATATAAGAATTATTTAATCCATATTAATAAAACAAAATTTCTATTAGATAATGCAATAGTAAACTAAACTTTAATATTAATTTATAATAAATTTTAATATTAATTTATTATACATATACATTTATATACATTTTCTTAAACTATTTCTTTTTCATCAAAGTATTTTTAAAAATATAAACATATTATTAATATATTATTAAATATAAATATAAATACATTATCAATAATTCATCATTTCCGAAATAAATGATAAACATAGGATAAATTGAATATTGAATAGAACTAGAATAAATTGAATTTGTTATATTAAAAGTAAAATATTTATAATCATCACGAAGTTAAATTTTTTATATTAAATAATTATTATTTTTAATATTACGATATTAAATCTAATAAAGTTTTAATATCAAAATACAAAAAACAAAATATTAATATCTCACAAACATTTATTACATTAAATAAAAGATACAGTATGCATAAACAATAAATTGTAATATTTATTTAGATTATTAACTTATTTTTCGAATTCAATAAAGGCAGTGTTTACTGTTTATGAAACGCAATCATTATAATTATTTATTATAATTTTCTCAATTCTTAATATTTTTAAATTAATGTCTATCATTTATACAACGAATTAATATATTCATAAAATATTTTTAATGGATCATTTCTAGACACCAAAACAAATATAAAATTTTGATATATTATTATACATATTATATAACTTATATAATATAATTGTTAATATAATTATTACAATTCATACAATTTAATTTATATAAATTGTTATACAATATTTATTGAGATTTATTTATTAAGTTAAAAGCAATTTAAGTTTGCGTTAGATAAAGCATGATAAAGAGAATGAAATGATCGTATGATGATTATACTCTCCTTCGTTTTGCTTCATTTAAAACAAATTTAAATTGTTTATAACATAATATATAAACTTAAACCAATATTTTTATGTACTAACTTTTGTATTTGTTTTGACTATTATAATTAATCCTCACAAGATGTCATATGAATATATTAATATCTTATGAATATTATACATATATACTAATAATATTTCAAAATAAAATGAAAATAAAAAATAAAGAAATTATATTTCTATATTTTTATATGCTAACAATTAAAAAAAATAAATGTTTTCACTTTTTTATTTTAATAATTATAATACTTAAAAATCTTTTTAAAAATATCTTTCGATGCGATAAAATCTTCATGTACCTATGAAAGAATATACAATTGAACTGAAAGAATACAATAATCTTAATATGAATACGAATAACAGTTTATGACATAGAATAGAAATTATAGAATAAACGATCATGATATTTAGTCTTTTAAGAATATTTTAACAACTCTGTGTTCTCCGCTATTTGAGTTGTCTTATATTCGTTCGTGTAAGATTTGCTTAAATTTAAGGATATTTTCATTCTTTTAATTGTTAATAACAATAAAAAAAATAATAATAAATCTTTAAATCTAATAACAAAATTGAGAACGCAATTTTTTATTCTTGATTTTTATTTTATTTTAGTTTAAAAAACTACTTTTTAAATTTCTATAAACTATATCAAGTCAAATATATATATATATATATATATATATAATATAAACTTTTTTCTTTAATGATTTGACTATTTTATTAATTTATTGATTTGACATTTATTAATATAATGCTATAAAAATATAAATAAAAATGATCACATTCATAATAGATAAATTATATAAAAATGGTATATAAATTGTTTATATATGAATTCTTATATTTTTACAACTTGTATGATTTGTTATATTTGATATAACATATAATATAATGTTGATTTGTATATTTTAATATTTTTTTAGTTTATTTTATTATCTTTTTTAAATATAATTTGTGAGTTAAAAATAAAACAATTTTTATGCGAAGATAAGTATTATTTAAATACAGCAACAAATTATTTTGTTATAATTTTAATGTTTAATTTTAAATAATGTGTAAAATAAATTCAACGATTTATTGTTTGTAAAATTATCTTCAATTTATATTTTTTCGAATAGATTTTAACGTAATCTTTTGCATCTACAAATTTTTTAATTGCTATATGTATTAAATATTAAATATTAATGTTTTAAATATTTACATCTTTTTAATTCTAAACTAAAATATTAAATTAAAATAAAATAGTTAAATAAAATAATAAAAATAAAGTTAAATATGCTAAAAACTGCAATATATTTTCGATAACGTAAAATGATATAAATATATATAAGTTATATTATAATTTAAATTTGAACTAATTTGAATCATTAAGTGCTCCGAAAATAATTTGAAAATTAATATCATTTATTTTGAGAACATATTTAAAGAATTATTAGTATTATTTAAAAGAAATATATTAACTCAAAATAAATACGATAATTTCATTTTTTAAAATATCTTTTAATTTAATTATTTTAAATAATATTATTTATTAATTTTTTTAATTAAAATATTTAAAGCTACTCTGAATTATATTTGTTAGTTTGTATGATAATAGATTTATCAAATAATAAAATTTATAAAATATTTTTGATTTAATTAATAATTTAAATATTGAAATTTAATAAATAATTTTATTTTCGATTTGCTATAAATATTAATAATCAGAATAGTCATATCAATAATAAAAAATTATATTAAAATATAATAAATCAAAATCCATATTAAAAGCAATTTTATCTTGTTTTATTTTCATTATGTGCATTTTAGAAACACAAAAATATATAAGAGTACAAAATTATAAAATAATATACAACATTTATATATTAAAATTATTATAAATATAATAATATATAATGTAACTAATAAAAATAGTTACTACTCGTCCCTTAATATATCATTTTTATTTTTTAATTTTAAGTGTATATGTATAATAAATAAATTTTTGTTGCATTTGTTATATTATGTAGTTATGTACTTTAATTTATAATACAAATTTTTTCTATATTCACTTAAATTATATATATATAAATAATATTATTATATATATATAAATAATATTAATATATAAATTATATTATAAAATATATAATGATATATTAATAATATATTATAAGTATATATAATATCAATCAAATGCTTTTTTTTTTAATATAAAATTCTATCAAATATAAATATATAAATTATAAATAAAATATTTTATAATCTCTTTTATATTTTTAGACATTTTTTTTATTTTAATAAATCTAAGGACTTAATTTTTCTTTTATATATTATATTAGTTTTAAAACATGTATTATTTAAGGATTACATTATTTATGAATTATTTTTATAAATTTTTAAGTATTTTTTTATTGTTTTATACAATATGTTCATATACTAATTTTATTATATATTCATTAAAATAAATAATATTTTTTTAATTGAATGTTTATATAATGTTTAAAAATAATTATTTAAGTTTTAAAAAAACTTAAACATAATAATTACTAATATTTATTATTTTATATATTTGAAAATAAATTAAGCGTAAAAATTTTACAATTCTAGATAGATATTAAATTGTCTTGTTTAATATTTCGATGTGTTAATAAAAAATTAATTTATAAAAATTTATTACCTGATTATGTTATTGGAAACTACATTTTTTGTTACAGTGAAAATCTATATATTGCAATTAATTAATTGATTAACTGCATTATTGAACACATATTGTTTCATTATTTTATCTAATCTAATCTTAATTTAATAAAAATTTTAGTACGCTTTTATTAATTTAATTACAGATTCTTTTTTATTATATATTTTTATTTATTATATATCTATTATTTTGTATCTACACTTTTTATTTTTATTTTTTATTATTATTTTTTTTTAATACTAATTTTTTTACATTCTAAAAAAATATTTTCTCAAAAACTTGAATAGTCTTTTA